AATATATATATATATATATATATATATATAGAGAGAGAGAGAGAGAGAGAGAGAGAGAGAGAGACTAAAACAAGTTAAACAATTGTGGTTATGTATACACACTAAAACAAGTTAAACAACTATGGTTATGTAAATACACTGAAACAAGTTAAACGATTATGGTTATGTATACACACTGAAACAAGTTAAACGAATATGGTTATGTATATACACTGAAACAAGTTAAACAACTATGGTTATGTCTATACACTGAAACAAGTTAAACACTTTTGGTAATGCATATACATTGAAACAAGTAAAACAACTATGGTTATGTATATACACTGAAACACGTTAAACAACTATGGTTATGTATATACACTGAAACACGATAAACAACTATGGTTATGTATATACACTGAAACACGTTAAACAACTATGGCTATGTATAAACACTGCAACAAGTTCAACAACTATGGTTATGTATATAAACTAAATCAAGTTAAACAACTATCGTTAATCACTAGACTTACATTGTCCAAAAGTTGATGTTATCAAATTTTACTTAGTTAAGTGTTTATTTTAGGTGTAACAAAGAAAAATCGAATTAGGAACGATAATATCAGGATGAGAGTCGGCTAAGAATCAATTCTGAACTTTATAGGTAGACTACAAATCAAATGGTTTGGCCATGTAACAAAAGTGGCATCAAACAGGGCACCACACAGAGCAGTGCTATACATATACATCGATAACAGAACCAGACAGAGGTCGATCGCGTAGATCATGGACCACAGAAATATCAAACACTGAAAATTACTTTACACGAAGCGAACAGAAGAGCCCGTTGCAGAGATCTTGTTGCTCTGACACCGGGGTGGGGTTGGGGGTGGGGGGGGGGGGGGAGAAGTATTTGGTGTCGTCGTCTTTGGCTTATACGTTGCGTACGCGCTTCGTAATTCCAAAATACCCTGTTTCTATTATTTTCGTTCGACAAAGGGACGTAAGTGAGTTGCGTCTGTTTACAGCAAAGCTGCGGTATTTGCCCCTTTCAGGCGACCCAACCGATTTCATCGAGTATTTACTGACCGGTTTCACTTCAAGAAAATACCCTGTTCAATTCCAGCTGCAGAAAATATTTACTGAAAATATAAAAATATTTATTGAATGCAATAAACTCTTTGTTGTGACTCCACATAAGTAAGGGTGAAAGTTTGAATGCACAATTTTGAAAAGGAAAGGCACCTAGTGAATATTAATTTATTCAAAAAAGAGGATAGTGTCATCAAAGGTATGCTGCTATCTAGAATTATATCTTCATGCAGTGAGTTTATCTAGACCTCAGATCACATCTTTCCTTCCTTCCTTAATCTATTTCTCGAACCACTCTTAGGCTGTGTTCGTTTACTCAGGTGCTGTCCACCCTTATTCGCTTATTATCAAGACACATCTAATTAAGTTTATCATACGGATCTGGAGTGCATGGGATTCAAACCCACAGACGGTCAAGGAACACAGTTCATTTTACTTTACAACGTATATAATGGACGCCCTGTGTGGCGTAAAAACGACTGAGCTAGTTAATAACCATGATGATGATGATGAAATAGCTTGAAATTATGTTACTGATTATTGCTGTCACTTTAATAGATGATCTTTAGTGAATTAAGTCCACAAAGAGCATGTTTAGATTGAACAGTCAACAGTCCACATAGTTACTATTCCCTTCTGTCTAATCGATGATTTTATTGCTATTGATTTTACTATCCCTTCTGTCTAATCGCTGATTTAAACGCTATTGACATTACTATTCCCCTCTGTCTAATCGATGATTTTAATGCTATTGATATTGCTATTCCCCTCTGTCTGATCGATGATTTTAATACTATTGATATTGCTATCCCTTCTGTCTAATCGCTGATTTAAATGCTATTGATATTACTATTTCTTTCAGTCTAATCGCTGATTTTAATGCTATTGATATTGCTATTCCCCTCTGGCTAATCGCCGATTTTAATACTTTTGATATTGTATTTCCCGTATGTCTAATCGCTAATTTTAATGCTATTGATATCACAATTCCCTTCTGTCTAATCGCTGATTTTAAGGCTATTGATATTTCTTTTTGCTTCTCTCTAATCGCTGATTTTAATGCTATTAATATTACTATTCCCTTCTGTCTAATCGCTGATTTTAATGCTATTGATATTACTATTCCCTTCTGTCTAATCTTTGATTTTAATGCTATTGATATTACTATTCCCTTCTGTCTAATTGTTAATTTTAATGCTATTGATATTACTATCCCCTTTTCTTTAATTGCTGATTTTAATGCTATTGGTATTACTATTCCCTTCTGTGCAATCGATGATTTTAATGCTATTGATATTACTATTCCCTTCTGTTTAATCGCTGATTTTAATGCTATTGATATTACTATTCCCTTCTGTCTAATCGCTGATTTTAATGCTATTGATATTACTATTCCCTTCTGTCTAATTGCTGATTTTAATGCTATTGATATTACAATTCTATTCTGTCTAATCGCAGATTTTAATTATATTGATATTACTATTCCCTTCTGGCTAATCGCTGATTTAAATGCTATTCACATGTTTTACTTTAAAGGTAATCTGCTAATGCAAGCGTGGGCACATAGAACACCCACACTCACTGATCTAGATCCACAAGGGGGTAGTTGTACTTATTCCTCAGGTAATTAGTGACAGAAGCCAGGGTATTGCAACTATTATCTTCACAGAAGTTACTGACAAGTTGTCATTGATCACACGTAGAAGTTAAGTGTTTACAATCCTAATCAGGTAAAATAAGGTCTTTGTTGGTGTTTGTGACTTAAGGATGAAATCGGGGTTTGCAATTATGAAAGAAACGTTAAATAAAAATGCTGTCTTTACCGACTGTATTTAATGTATGCCTTTACTATCAATGTGTTGGCGTATTTTACTCGTTGATCATAGTATGTGTATTGTCACGTGAACATAACATTCTTTAAAGATAACAATCAAATACGGTACAAGAGATGAATGTTTTAGAGTGCCGAATCTTACGCATGCCTGCGTGCCCAATTACTGACACTTGGGGGCGCGGGAGAGGGGGAGAGATTCGTTCTTCACATTTTCCACTTTTTAAGATGGAAGGGATTGCGGAGGGGGTCAGGCGATGGACACGATGATTATGATCCTCGTTGCTAGTGCAGTCTGCGCGATTTGTGCAGATTGGAATATTTATGTTTGCTTTTGACAGAAGAATATAAACTTCAATCTGTTTACAGAGGATTTGAATCCGGGTCTTTTAGATGAAAGCCCCAGGTTTTCAAAGTTCGACCAATCACTCCTTAACTTTCTGAAATTCAGCCGAAGTCTATTCGACGGGAGACCGCTTTGTGATGATTGCAATAATATTATGGAATGTATAATGTCAATAAAGCAACGGCTTACTACAAAACATGACAATGCTTTTAAAAAAATCATAAACGACTCCAACAAATTTTTTTTGCTGGAGTTGCTTTGAAGACATTAAGAATTGGTGACATCTGTGCCAAATGACAAAAACCATTGTTGCACTTGTGTTATGAATTGCTACCTGTTTATTCCCACGCCGCTTAACGGCACAAGTGGAAGTCGATAATGAGGAGGACGACGACGACGAATATCTTGATGATGATGGCGGTGTAATAATGATAATAATATGATGATGATGATGACGTCGACAGTAATGATGATGATGATGATGATGATGATGATGATCACAAATACCTGAAATACCGATCTGAGGCCAACCATTTAATAATAACACTAGCAACCCTTAACTCTCGCCATAACACTCTATTTCCTAACGAAGTATCAACCTTCGCCTTTTTAATAGCAAATATATACCAACCGTCAGAGGACAGCCCGTCCGTGACGACGATAGCCATGTGGGGCGCGGTCGATCTGGCTCCATTGGCTGCAGTGAATGAGAAGATTCTGGCTTGTCGAAGAGCTTCTCCAGTGAACGTCATACCTCCGAGATATGTCAAGTTCAGAATCGCCTAGGACAAAGATAGGTCATTTCGATTGATTATCATCTTTATCGTCATGTACTGTGAGGATAAAGGTAGGTTGTCATTGTTTGTCAGCTCATTCATCGTCAGAATCACAGAGCAGGCCAGGTTTGTATATTGTCTCGTTACACCTACATTGCCAGCAGATGAAAAAAGGTAGCATCAGATGACAAAAGGTGCCTTCAGATGACAACGAGTACCAGCAGATGATAACCGGCACGTTTGCGACTTACAGCAAGGATGTGATATTTGCACCTTATGAACCAACACATACGATTTTAACAAACCTCTAATAATACCCATTTTCGATTTGTTTGCTTATAAGAGGGTGAGGGGGGAGGGGTTATGTTATTTGTTCCCAACAAAATAGGGCACTGAAACCAACAGGGAAACTTGGTGAAGAAATGCAATTAATTGCTCATTCATGCGTGTCTCTTTATGTATTTATTACAAAATGTCTCTTAAAACAGTGCACCAAATCCGTAACGCCATAACTTTGATCCTAAAATTGCATTAAATCTTCTCGCTCTTTCATACTCTATCTCTGCCTCTCACCCTATCTCTGTCTCTCACACTATTTCGCTCTATCTGCATCTCTCTCAGACTATATGTCTCTTTCTCTCTATCTTTCCCTATCTATTTCACTCTTGTACTTTCCCTCCCACCAAACCATCCCTCCCCCTTCTGTGTGTGTGTGTGCCTTTGTGTGTATGTGTCTCTGTCTCTGAGATGTCCATGACATGCACTTCATTAATATCACACCAGCTCCACACGACAGATACGCCAGTATAATACAGAAGATACAACAAGTATTACATCGCACACACACAATTCTCTCTGGCTCAATTCCCCGTACCTCTTTCAACTCAGCATTTGTCGTGTACGTAGTAAAACCGAAGCCGTTCTCAACTATGGAACTGAAAATCAGCGCCGAAAAATGGATAGCGTTAGGACCAACAATGAATTCTCCCGTGAGGTCAGCTGCAAACTTCAGCTGGCGACTGTAGTCATCAAAACCAATGCTCCCTGAAGAGTCTAGAATGAAGAGCATGTCTGCCTGACCTCCATCACACTTTGTTGGGGCATCGCCTGAGAAGATAGAGTCAAAATTTAGTGGGCGCAATTGGTGGATAAAGTGCTGTTTATTGAACAAACCTTTTCAGATGTCGCACTTAAAAGGTCGGTTGCTATGTTTTGATGTGATTTGAAGCTTGGCTGCGATAAGTTCAGCCCAACTTATCCTATGTCACCAAGTCATTAATTAGTCGCCTCTTACAATATGCCTCGTGTTGAAAGGAGGGGGGATGGGGGGGGGGGGAATTGCTGGAAGAGACAATCGTCCTTCCCCAAAATGGTGCCAATGGACCCACGTGAAGAGTTTAGTAAACAAAACATGACAGTTTATGGGTACAATATTTTTTGCCTCCCCCAAACACGAAATTCCCGTGGGAATTCCACAGCTGACTTGACAGTCCATTATTTCAAGGGGTGCAAGTGTGCTGCTGTCTGCTGCTGTTTTTGAGTGTTCATCTAGTGTCTTATGGTGCGACATATTTCGGTCTGTTGATGCGCATTTGGCTGCTTGATGATGCGCAATTGGCCGGTCTGCAATATTAGTTATGTTTTCATAACATGTCAACATGTGAGTGCATAGCGTAGTTGGTATCACATCTGCCTTGTAAATGAAAAATGCCGCGTTCAATACCGACGTGATCCATTGTGAATTTCCTTTTTTTTTTTTTTAAATGAAATGTAAATTGTGTGTGTTTTTGTTGTCACAATGTTTTTTTTTTAAATAAAATGTAAATTGTGTGTTTTAAATGAAATGTAAATTGTGTGTGTGCGTGCGCGCGCGTGCGTGTTTTTTTTAAATAAAATGTAAATTGTGTGTTTTAAATGAAATGTAAATTGTGTGTGTGTGCGCGCGCGCGTGCGTGCGCGCGCGCGTGCGTGCGTGCGCGTGTGCGTGTGTGTGTGTGTTTTTTGTTGTTGTTGTTGTCACAACGTTTTTTGTAAAAATAAAATGTAAATTGTGTGTATGTGTGTTTGTTGTCACAACGGTTTTTTTTTCACTACATTTGGCTATGTGAACTATGTGCAATCGCAGGAAATGCCAATTGGGGTACTGTGGGGGGCCCTAAAAAGGGCCAATCATTCTACATGAATACTGCTGGGTTCACGCACGAATTGACAATCACAGAGATTGTACACGTTAGTAGATCTGAACTGAGGTCAAACTGCGGTGGCAGAAGAGACGACGGACTAGTAGTCTCTCGGGGGCCAGAATCTAGCAATGTCTGCTAGTATGGTTTCAAACATGTCGCCACCCGCACGTTGAGCGCGCCTGCGCCACAGAAACTCACACATGTAAGATTCTAATAAATGTCTGTGGGTGCCATTCTGGCGCTTGTTTCTCTCCTTTGCCGACCTCCACAAACGTTCGATGCATTGCGTATGAGCACCTGTGGTGGGGTCGACAAAATTAATGGAGTGATTGTTTCTGCAACTTCTGGTTCTGTGCAGAATGCCATGCTGTTGCAGGAAGGCAATGCTGCTTTCTTTGTCTTGTACAGATGCAACTAGCTGTAGAAAATTCATCGTGACTGCTGCTGGAAACAATGGCAACTGACTGACGCCGGAAAAGAGCGGTAAACATACGTCATCAATGTTGACACTTTTCTTTGACAAAAACATCCAAAATGGAGTCAAAAAAGATCTTAAAATATCCAAATTTGCGTGGAAAACATATAGAAAAAAAATCCAAACGGGAAGAGTCACAAATTACATAGCTAATAATATAACTAAAATGTGTAGCATTAATCTGTACCGAAAAGTAAATGTGGCCAGTGTAACAGCTACCACATCACCCTTAGAGTGCCAGTACTACTGCTGCTACCACTACCACCACCACCGTCACAACAACAACACAAAACGGTCACTACTGTCTGTACAGGTCGTTGTAAGTGTGCCCCCGACATAAAACTCCATCTCTTAACCATGGGCGAACGCAAGGGGAAAAGGAGGGGGGGGGGGGCATTTGCCCTGGATTGATTGGGAAAAAAAAACGAATGCTGTTGCTTGTTCATCTGCAGCAGCAACGCTATCACCAGAACCAGACCCGGACAAACTTGAAAGTGGAGATACTATGTTAACCTAGGACATTGAACTCTGTGTAAAATCTACTACGAAGATTCGATCTTAAGCTCAAGTATCGTTTGCTAACTGATCCATACAAGCCTCACCCGTCATATGATTTTGAAGGCGACATGTCAGGAAGTGGAAAACGTTGTTTCAGGAAATCTTGGCTAACCCAGTATTCTCTATGGTTATCATATTCACCTAGGTTAAAAAGTGTTTTTTTTGCATTTTCTGTGTTTTTTTTTTCCGCAACCAGTTCAAAAAGGAATTCAAGGTGCCTTCATTACTACTCCTTCTACAAAGATTTTAAATGAATGTGCCAGAAACCCAGCTCAGCATGGCATCGTGGGTCTTAACAAGATGCTGAACACTTGGCGTCAACCATTAGAGATCCAAAAAAGGATATTATTTGTCAGATAGATAACTCCGTAAAACGAACTATTGAAGAAAACAGAAAGAAACTGTATCCTTTTATTTCAACAATCTTATTTTGCGGAACAAATGATTTGGCAATTCGTGGGAAAGATAGCACCAAAGGAAATGTCGAACAACTTTATATGTATCGAATTGAGGGAGGAGACAGTATTTTAAAAAAAAAAACCATTTTGATACAATTGCTGGAAATGCACGTTACACATCACATCGAACGCAGAATGGTTTGATTAATTTGTCTGAACAAGCTTTGCGAGAAGACATTGTAAAAGCTGTTAACAATGCTGTTGGATTCTTGATCATAGTCGATGGAACAGCAGATATCTTAGGAGCAGAACGGTTATCACTGGGAGTCCGGTTTGTAGATACGTCTAGTGAGAAGGCTATGATTCGTGAGGAATTCCTTGCAAAACATTTGGTCTTCTCCTTAATAATCTGCTGGGTCAAGGTTATGATGGGTGCTCGACAATGGCCGGAAAAGAAAATGGTGTTCAGGCGAAAAATTCGAAGAATTTACCCCAAGGCTGCCTTTGTTCACGGTGCCTCGCATATACTGAATCTCGTTGAAAATGATCTTAATAATGTTGCATTGATACGAAATACTATTAGTACTATCAAAGCAATTATTACATTTTTTTCGTGAAAGCCCAAAAAGGAGGTCCTCTGTCCCAAATATTCCTCTTCTGTGTGAGACAAGATGGACAAGCAAGTATAAAAGTATTCAGATTTTTTCTAGTAAATTTGCAGACATTTATTGCCAACTGGAAACATTTTCATTGCATGCAAGTGGAAATACACGACAGGCTGCACATCAGTTACATTGTTCATCAAAGTCCAGCACGTTTTTATTTTGTCTCAATATTATTTCTCAAGACTCTGCCATACTGGAACCAGTTACTCAGGCTCTTCTAGCTGTTCAAGTTGATCTTCCAGAAGTCCAACTGCAAGTTCAAAACCTGCTCAGTGTAGTAAAACTTCACCGAGGTGATTCCAATAACTATTTCAGGGGTCTTTTTGTGAAAACACTACAACTCGCACAGAAAGTGGATATTGAGCTGATTATCCCAAGACAGTGTGGAAGACAAAAGTATCGAAGTAATCCGGGAACCATAAGTGTTGAAGAGTACTTCAAACTGTTTACATTCCATACTTAGATTCTCTAATTAACTCAACTGAGAGTCGATACTGTGAAGCCAACAGTGCACAATTTAACTTAGCGTTGCTACATCCTTCGAAATTGTGCAAACTGAATCGTAAACAGTTTAAGGATATAATGTCTACTATTATTCAGATATACTACATTGATAATTTTGAAACTTCTTCTTCTTCCTCTTCTTCTTCTTCTTCTTCTTCTTCTTCTTCTTCTTCTTCTTCTTCTTCTTCTTCTTCTTCTTCTTCTTCTTCTTCTTCGCGTTCACCAGCTGTACACTCTGGCGTAAAGTTCTGGTTGTTCAACCACTTCTGGACTGCAGCCATGCTCCAGAACATGAGTGTTGCGTGTGCATCAGTTTTACAGATCTGATTCAATTGAATGCAGACTGTTGGTTCCTCGCCTCTCAGGCAGATGCACTCCGACTTCAAAGGAAGTTCCCCAGTTAGTCGACTCTTACGACATGCTTTTGGGGAGGCAGTGGGTCTATTCTTGTTTTCCCCACAATAGGGCCCCGGAACCCACACGGGGGAGGGAAAACGCGAGAATGCAGAAGTAGACAAGATTTTATCGACTTGTACCTTTTACAAAGTTTTATCTGAGTGTCAGGTATGCCTTACTAGTTTTGCTAACATTACCAGCAACAACATGTACTGTGGAGCGATCGTTCAGCACATTACGTCGTCGTGTAAAAACATGGCTTAGATCTGCAATGTCAGATAAACGTCTGTATGGATTGTTTATGTTAAGCAAATCCAGGCCGGCAACGAAACAAATAATGATTTGACCCGTTGCTGGCGCTACGTCGTTCGTGGTTTGTGCGATTTATGAAAGTACTTACAACGAGCTTTGGTGATATATCCCGGGAACTGCCAATATTTTTTGTTCATACTTTACTTTTAGCATATTGAAATGTTTATTCAAAGTGAAAGCCACATAGGAAGGTGAGCAATTATTTTTTTTTAAATCACATGAAAAAGAAACACAAAGTTAGCACAGTGAGGTTACGGTTGAAACAAAGTAAGTGTGATTTGCGCACCCTTTTAATTAATCAGTACCGGGGCTGCCAGATATTTGAGCTTTGACCCCAGTGAGAGTTCAAAGTTTGAGTAACTGAAAGAAAAAACAATAATAACTGGAAAAAAAATATTCAACTCAAATCAAAAGCATCTAGAAAAACATCTACCATAAGAAAAAAAAATATTTGACTCCAAATGAAATGCATCTAGAAAAGCATCTACCATTTAAACGTCAAAAAGACATCTAAATGTAAGGAAAAACATATGAAAAGCATCTAGAAAAGCATCTACAATTTAAACGTCAAAAAGACATCTAAATGGAAGGAAAAACATATGAAAAGCATCTAAAAATGCATCTACCATTTAAACGTCAAAAAGACATCTAAATGGAAGGAAAAA